TAGTGCGCGCACGTCGAAGGTCTTCATAATTTGTGCCGTTGCAGTCCAGTAGCTGGCATCGCATTAATTACCTCCGCTCCAGTGGCGAGGCGAGAATGATCGATTATCGATATTTACCCCATAAAAGCTATGGTAAAGAATCGATTATTAAGGTTTTCTTCGCCAACACCCTGCTTATCGATCCTTTTCCATTGGTTTAAATGGCGTAACAATCGATAGATCGCAAAGCACGCCACACCACTGCCTCGTTCAGAAAAAGCGCGCGGAAGTGCTCCGCTTCTTTCACCCGCGGTTTTGCGGCCACCCCGCGCGTCCGTTGGGCTTTAATTGTTTCCGAGGGATTTTAATGTTCCTTGTAAAAGCGTTAAACAAGACCTCCGTGTTCGATTACTTCGATGTCCGTTGGATTTCACGCGGAATGGAGACCTTGCATGTGTCAGGAATTTGCGATTTGATCTCTAATTCCTACGTTAAATTTCGCAAGAAACACGATGGGTGTCGATGCCTTTCTCTGAAACCAACTCCAAAGCTCAAACAAAAGCTCTCGATGCCGTGATGGCAGGGATACTGCCGTAATAAGCAAGAACGCCGTAAATCCATCAAGATTTTTCCTCGTTTTTTGGTACTTATTTATATAACACTCTATAACATAAAAACTGTTTTACCCATGCACCTCAAATTTTCCAGTTAAGTTCTTGATAGTATTTGCGAAAGAATTCTGTAAAAACATTGTCCCAAGGTACACAAGTTTTTCTGCTGATACGTTGTTTCCAAAACATGTAAAATGGCGTTTCCCTCGCGTAAAAACGTAACTACATTTCAATATTGCCAAAACTTCCCTTAAAACTTGTATTTTGACCGACAGAATCTGAGCATTTCAAACTGAAAATTTCTTTGATTTCCTTCCGATCTCATGCAAAAATCATGTAAGTTTTGGAAAAAAAAATTGTACGAGAACATTCTTGTAAAGCTAGGTATGTATTAGAATATTCGTACGTTGTCTACTTGTACATTCTCAGAATGAGAGGTCCATTCCAATTACATATTCGCCAGGAGAAGCATCACTGGAATCAGCGTAGGACAGACGTCCGGGTTTAGAGACCGCGGGATGGCGCACAGTGGATCGAGTGAGTAGGAGAGTTCGGACAAAATTTGGAAACTTTGAACGCTTATAACTCCGTTTATAAAAAGTTTCGAGCTTCTAAAAGTGGTTCCATTGGTTTCCCCGTGAAATTTCATTCTAGTAGCACCCCTTAAAATTTAAAATGTGACAAAATAAACATAAAAATGGACCACTAGACAAGGTACGAAGTTAAGCATTCTGATACATGTTTCTTAACCAAAACTTAACGTAGAACACGATTCGTGCGACAAAAATTACTGGAATTGACTCCTAGCCGAGATATTAAATGTTTCTTGACGCGTGAATTCAAACTTCCCGCTCATGAAAACATAATGGTTTACGTGGGTCAGACAGCACGCTAAACGTTACCGTGGCAGTCTATGCGATACGAAAATATGGCAATCTCAATCTTGACGCTTTGGCTCAGCTATAGCAAATTGTTTACACTTTGAACAATGAAGAGTGGGAAATGCACAATGTTGGATTGATAAAGCCTGCCAAAACCGTTGTAGTGCGCAATATGACTCACGTAATTATTGTGTTTCTTGTGACCGGGCAACTCGGATTTCCCGTAACCAATGTAAAATTAAAACATTAACACCTTAGTTGGGAGTTGATTTCAGTAGTTTTTGATGCAAGAATCATGTTCTACGTGAAATTCTAATCATGAAACATGTATCAGAATGCTTAACTTCGTCGTACCTTGTCTGGTAGTTCATTTTGTAGTTCCAGTAGAAAATTTCATGTCCGAAATCTCTGATTGACTCGATCCACCTTGAGTCCCTTTATAGAAAGAGTTAAGACAACGCGGCTCATGGATGTCACAAACGGGAATAAAGATTACACAAATTGGACATTTTTCGTAATCTTTGATCAGTTCACTATCGGATTCCTGTCTCCGTTCTTTCTCGCATTCCGTTCATTCCTTGCCATTCCCCCAATTCCCCGGGTTCATTTCAGTTTATATAATCTTTGCATTCGGTGAAAATGTAATCTTTATTCCCGTTTGTGACACTGTATAGGCCAGAGTTAAGAAATTTCGTGAAAGATTATAAGAAGACATTTCATAAGGAAATTTCAAGAAATTTCATGGAGAAAAAAGAAATTTCATTCGATGAAATTTTTTTTAGCAACTCTGGTGGAGGCCTAGAATACGGGAACCGATTAGAAATGGATTCGTATTGCCTTTACTCTCTGTAAAAAGAGACTCCAGATCCACCGAGTGGCGAGCGAAGGGACCGGGTCGGACGGAAAAATCCGAATCCTCAGCGTTGGGCTTAATCTGGCGTAATCCCGTGAGCCGAGACGGGGCTCCTGCAGACGGGGCAACACTTTTAATCCTTGAGAGCCTTGTTATCAAACACACCCCGATCCCGTCTCCGTCTCCGTCCTCGTCAGACGCCCTGTTAGTTTTATTAAAAATTATCCCCCATTTTTTATTCGGCCCGCAACGCTTCGCGCCCTCCGATGCGCCCGCTAATGAGGCCGAGCCCCGCGGTGCCGCACTTCCCGCAACATGACCCCAAGGCGGGAAAAATTACGCTGAAAAAAGTTACGTGACCGTCCGTTCCGGGCTCAGGGGCCGAAAGTTCCGGGTGCTGGAGCCGTAGCTTCGATTTCTCCGGGTGCTGCGCTCGAAACTTTCGGCCTCTGAGTCCGGAACGAGGATGTCTACGTTGCATGACACATAGTAAAGTCAGGCATTTTGTCAAATGCCTGGGCAAATAGTCAAATATTCTAATTTAGATAGAAATTCTGATTCTTTTCCTCATTTTAGAGAAAATAATTAATCACTCCTGTGAGAAAAAATTCTCAGTAAAAATTTGCATCACGCGATAGTGTTTTAAACGATTTTTAGCTCCTAAACAGACTTCATCTCAGACTTCTTCAGACTTTCATCTTTAAGTTTTCAGCATTTCATAAAATACAGAATTTTTAGAATTTCAGCATTTCAAAATATGAGAGGCAATTGAAGAGGAGGCGACGAAAAGAGTGCATAGGTTTGTTGAGTTATTTTTCCAATAATATTGAAAACTGGTGAGCTCTTCGCCATAAATTCACACAATTTTGTAGACCGTCAAAATTTAACTATCTGCCTTGGCATTTCACAAAATGCCTGATTTCACTATTTGCCTGCGACATCTATACAGCCCGTAGGCAGGGTGGCAAAATGTCATGAAAAATAAAATCTTGAAATTTCACTTGAAATATGTCATGAAACAGTAATTTATGAGAGATACTGAAAACCGGTTCCTTCTCATGTTTCGCAAAATATAAAAATTGTGACTTCCTTCTATTTTTGTGTGTTTGAGTGCGGGTTGTATACTTTAGCCCCTGCAAAATGAAGCGTTTCACTGAAATTTCCAATCTTACGTTTCTTTCTTACGTTTCATGCCACCCTGCTCGTAAGTACGGCTTCCTCGGTCGGAGTTCTTTTTCAGTGTACATTTCGATAGCCAAAGTGCGGAACCACGTACATTGATGGCTAACGAACAATACCGCTTATCTACAAACTGACAATTTTGCAGAACGGAGAGAAAACTTGCAATTTTTTCATACATTACATCATCACTGTAGCGCCCCTCTTCAAAATTAGAGAAAAAAACTAAGATCATCAGCTTGTATATTAGACACTGCCGGATGTGGCAAAGCCGCTCACTCATTTTTGCCAACTATATGATCCCGTCGAAATATCGTTTCAAACGGGGCCCATTTTCTGCATTTTCAAAACGAGGTTGCTTTACAACCCTTTTTCTTAGGGGATCTTTCCCATGAAGGTTCACGCTGACTTTTCATTTTTCACTCTCAATTTTCACGCTCTTCTAACCTTGTCGGATAAAGGCGAATTTTGGCAACGCGGTACCCGACCAGCATCCTATTTCGTATTCCGAAACAAAGCTTGAGGTCTCCGCGATGTTCTGGCAATTGTCAAATTAAGCTGAACACCGCCTCTTCCTCAGACGTTTTGTTCCTACGCGTACCGGTACGCACTGCGCCCGCCTGCCACGGAAAAAGCCTCATCACCGAACACCCCTTTTCGAGTAACTTTCTTTTTCAGCTTGAGTCGCGGCGTGGCGTGAACTTTCGTCGAACCCTTAAAAAATCGTGAGAAATCAGGAACAAGCCCTCATTAACGATGATTTGTTCTAGTTTTGTAATGGCGTGAATGAAAATTTACAGAAAGAGGACTTAAAACGCAACACTGGAAAAACAACAAAACACATTAGATCTGGAGTCCAGACTCTTGAAAATATTGACAAGAAAAAGTACTCTCGATTCAATCAGATTTTAGCTTAAATCAAAAGGAAATCCGCTCAAATTAAGAGGCTTGGTTCTTGATTTAAGCAAAAATCCGATTGAATCAAGGGTATTTTTTCTCGTCGATGTTTTTAAGAGTCTGGACTCTAGATCCAATGTGTCTTTCTTCCAGTGAGGGATTATCAAGATGACACAACAGGTCATTTCGCCTTCACTTTCAGAGGTAGGCCAAAAACGATACTCCGTGCATCAATAATAATTGTCCACTTGAAGATCTGAACTGATCTTGCCGGACAGTGAATTCTGATTAACATTACCGGACGATTTCAACGATAGCTTTTTTTTATTTACGCCTCTATGATTGATAGTAAATTAATAGTATAAAAGGAGTATAAACAGACTGAGAGAAGCAATGCTGTAATGGCGGATGTGCGCAGAAAACGCCACTGCGGGGATATTGCGGTACTTTATCTTTAAAATATTTCTTCTCTGATTGAGCAAAGAGGATTACAGATTGTGAAACACAAAATTTAGGAGAGATCATCTTTTTTTAGAGAAATGTTACCGCTGCGGCTTCTAATTGTACTAAAAATTATATTCAGGATGCAGTTTGACTCACCAGGTTCTATTTTAAGGTCTCCTGTTTCAGAATTCCTGGAGACTGTGATTACACCGTGGACCTTATATAATTCTTGGAGGATGTTCCACTCATCTTCCGTTACAGCTACGAACCTGGAACAATCAGTAAAATAATTAAGATATAAGATTCCGCAAAATTCATCCTATTCAGCATTGCCTGAAGATATGTTGTATACAGAGTCACGTCAATATGTTGGTAGTACTTTAAAGACAGAGGTATACCTGCTGTTAGAAATAGACCTTTTTTGAGGGACAATTACAATCAAAGCCGCAAATTTCGAGTTTTAAAAGCCCCCCCTCCCTCCCGGGATGATACGAGAATATCATGGGAATGTACGATGGAATATTCGCAACTTGCGCTTTGCATTCAGAATCGTCATCGTATCATGTATCATGCTAAAAGCACGGAGCAGCCAGGGAAAAGTCGGGGATTTTCGTGTTGAAAACATCTGAAAAGTCAGGGAATTTTCAACCACAGGAAAACTTGTCATCCTGCGAGCAGCTATAAGTACGTTAGGTCGTGTTTCTGATCGGTTCTGCCGATAACGGTAACGTAAATTGCACTATTTGATAACGCTGCCACACTCGGAAATAGTAAATAATTAATGATGAACGATCTTTAAATATTTCCAAGTAAATTAAACAAAGAAGCAGAAAAGAATTAACAGAAGATTCGGGAGAGGGTTAAGTTTGTACCTGCCAATTGGGCAAGAGAGTATTTCCCGCGTAAATAATCTCAACCTTATTCATATCTCATATTTCTTTATCGCAAGTTGAAGAAATACTCAAACCGCCTTTCTCCGAGCAACGACGACTAATAAATGAAATGAGTGATACATTTTGTTATCAGAAGCGGAAAAAAGTACGGGCCGGAGCGGCTTTTACGATAACCAGATCTACATGCAACTCTTCATGTTCTCCGGACGTCCGTGTTGCGTCCACAAAATTACAGGCGCTCTGGTTTTCTTGAGCACAGCGAATATCTACGAATATTCGTTCTCGAGGGTTTTCTACCATATATTTACAATCGTGTTTACCATGAAATCCTCGAAAGTTCGGATGATTTGTGCGGCGCCATGCATGGCAGCGTTGCAAAATCGTTCTGATTGTGGAAGTGTTATCAGTAAGTAGCAGGATTGACGTCTGCGATGCCTCTGTGGAAATGTTTTCGGGGGAAAACGTGTACCATTTGGCGAAACTGCCGTGATATACAACACGGCTCAATTGAATTACAAGGTTTTCAAGGTGAACACGATTGTGAATGCATCGTGGAAAACCCCTGAGAACAAACAAACGCGGCCACACGTTGTTCTTAAAAAACCGGAGCGCCTGCAATTTTTTGGACGCAACATGGGCATCCCGAGATACGAATAGTTGTATCAACACCTGACCGTTGAGAAAGCCGCTCCAGCCTTTAATTTTTTTAGATTGTGATAACACAATGTGTCACTCACTGAATTTGTACGCCATCGTTGAACGGAGAAAGGACAGTTAGATTATTTTAACAAACTATAAAAAAGAAATAAGTAAAATAATAGTAAATACACAAAAAAAATGGAGACTTTTCAACGACTTGAGCGCGCACCGTGATGTACGCGCAATGCATGAAGTATCCTGCGGTCTTGTAAGGCGCTACTATGCGCTTCGTGCCGCCGCGCCGCGCCGGCCGCGGACACACTGTGTTTGACGCGATTTTTCAAACTTGCAGCGTCAGCGGTGGTGTTCAACTCATGATTTTAAAGTTTTGCTACAGTTTGTTGAATTATTGTCATTTCAAACGATAAAACATTACATAAAACCCATCCAATTTTCTTCTCTTTATTTACACACTGAAAAAAGCAAAGTGGAAGAAATCAAGGTTGTCTTTACAGCGGTGTATGATGTCAGAAACTTGACTTTTCAATGAGCGATATCTATCTCGGTTGATATTAAACGTTATGCTATTTGGGCAAATCTTAATATTTTTAGCTAATCTAAAAGAATCAAGCATCAAAACACGATTCTAAGACTAGGATAACTGACCCATTATGCACTACATTTTGCAATTCGGAAGTAACTGGCTCATCTGCAAAAACACGTATAAGTGCATAGGAAAACTGGATGGTGCGTACTTTGTTTCTTAGCTGAGCCAGAAATTTTAGTTCCTCATTGCAAGATGTAGTCCAATTGGCCTATCAGGACACCGTCTGTATTACTACACTATGCCTAGCAGGGATTTCGCGAGCGGTGAACTTGAAGTTGCTCGTCGCGTGCGTGGGTGTGACGCTGTGCCATGCCTGCGAATTTCGGCTGCGGCCATTTACATAATATACTAATTCTTTATTAATTGCCCCCCTTCACTTTTCGGAAAGGCATCCTCCCCTTCTCCTCAAGAGCACAACGATACCAATGTTGCCAAATCTACGACTCTTCGTGCCTCGCGAGCGAGATATTCTGATGTCATACGAAAGCAGAGAATGCGCAAGCGTTAACGTCATGTAAAACGATACAGCATTAAGTATACATTGAACCGCAGGAGAGGTGTACTTACTGTTGTTTCTACCCCATTTAAGTATCTCATAGGCCAACCTCACTCTCCCTCCCCTTACATAAACTGACTTGACCCCTCTCTTATCTTCATTAAAAAATAACACAGAAAACCCAAAAAATCACTAAATGTTTCTAAATTTTCTTAATTGAAAAATACCAATTTTCGTTTAAAATGGGAGGCGTACTTGATCCTGGTTCCAACCCCCTCTACATAGACTCCGTGCGCCAAACAGCCCTCCCCCCCCCCTTAAAGGCTGACTTGAACGGCCTCTGCGGGCCGATTATTGAAATTGATAAACAAAGCTATAGACAATGAAGACAAAAAGGATATGGTGGGATCCTATTGGTGGAAGCGGGTAGTTGCAATGGACAAAGGAGGTAAATAATAGACTAACCAACGGCAACCGACAAGAAACCCGACTATTAGTCCATCATTTTCCCCCTTAGTCTATAAGAACCACCTGTTTCAACCAATAGGATCGCTCCATACTCCTTATGTCATCTTCGTCCATAACTTTGTCTATCAATTTAAATAATCAGTTCGCTGATTCCATTTTCTTCAAAATTCGGTGACACGAACACAGGGTTAAAGAAATCGCGGCTCCCGACCTACACTGAAAAAAAAATCTCGGTGTATTTACTGAGAAAAGGGTAAAATTACCAAGAATTCAGGGTTCCATTTGATCCCAGTTTTTTCTTGGTAAAATTACCATTTATGGAATTGGTAATTTTACCGAGAAATCACGGTAAAATTATTGATTTTCTCGGTAATTTTACTGGACTTTGGTAAAAACGCCAATATTTTTCATCGACTATGGTAGAATTACCGAGATAAAATGGCAAAGTTACCGGGAATTGATTACCAATAAAAGTGGTATTCTTACTTGAAAAAAAGTAAAAATACCGGTTTTTAGGTAAGTTTACCAGTCTGTTTTGGTAAAATTACCAATAATTGTTAAAAAAAAGTGAGATGGTAAAGGTACCAACGGACCTTGGTAAAAACGCCGAGAATTTTTTTTCAGAGACGTGTCTAAATCTGCGGGGGCGAGCGAAGACTCGAAATCGCGGCATCAAGGGCTTCGGCCGGGGCTGGCGCATTTGCATAATTGCGATCCGGTAACGCGCTAAGATAAACACTCGGTCGACATATGGCCTCACGATTAATTCCTCGTCGGATCGGGCCAAGTGGTGACTGGTGACTCGGTGTGGCCGCCATCGGTGACTGGTGACTGGTGAGCTTCATCTCAGACGGCTCGCAATGAAAGCCAGACGGACCCAGATCCCTTTTCGCCTGTGCAGGAGCGGAGTGGGACCATCGAGTACATTCGAGTCACTATGCACCTCTGGAACACCGCTGCAGGCTGATTGTTGAAATTGATGGACAAAGCTATAGACAAAGAAGACGTAAGAGTGTGGAGCGATCCTATTGGGTGAAATGGTTGGTTCCAATACTGCCGTGCTAAGGAAGAACGCCGTATGAGCATTCGAGAGTTGCCAAATTTCCTTCGATAAAATGTTTATTTTTGAGGCAAGTTATGAATATTTTTCCTTAAAACTTTCAGGACTTTTACGTGAAACTGCGAACAAAATCATCTGAAAAATCGGAAGTAATTTTCTTGCAAATTTTCAAAATTTGGCTACGAATGAAGGCTCATACGGCGTTTTTCCTTAGCACGGCAGTATAGACTAAAGGAGAAAATGATGGACTTAACTAACGTGTCTCTCGTGGGTCGGCGTTATTCAGTTTATTACCTACCTCCTTTGTCCATTGCAACCACCCGCTTTCACCAATAGGACCCCTCCATATACTTTTCTTCTTTTGTGTTTACCGCTTTGTCTAACAATTTTAACAATCAGCCCGCGGAAGTCAGTCCTTAACTGCGTTGCATTCCAAGCTTCCTGTTCGTCGAAACTATAAGCTAATTGTGAGCCGTACGGCATTTTTTCAACATGGCAGCTTATGGAAAAATCAGGGACTGGAAATGTTATCCAGGATTTCATCATTCAGATTGATAATATTATTCTCGCAAATTATGGAAAATAATGGTAACCAACGTCATAGTATATTGAAAAACGAACGGAACTTATGAAACGGAACAACGCAATGGCGCATCTTGTCCCTAGATACTTATCCACTTGTGCGGATTTTTGTGTGAATTTCGATGAATTCCCTGCATTGGACGAAGGTAATTCCTTAAAATATTCAAAGGAATCCGCACACGGCGATAAAATAAAAACGATTAATTTAGCGATAGCTAAAATAAAAAAAAAATTGGCGATAGCTAATAATGTGGCTTGGTTCCTTCCTCCTAGACGCGGTCCATTTGTGCAGAAAAGGCATAAACTCATCGCCGAAGTATTCAAGCTCCCCGAAGGGTTCAGGCACTCGGCGAAGCGAGCTGATCCTGAGATGCTCAGCAGCTTGACTGGAGGGAAGCTTTTACACGGCCATAAAAATGCAGCTCCGACGTAATTACCCTCCGAGTCGCCGCCGAAGGGATGGAGTCGAAAAGACGCGGGGGGAGGCGCCTCTGGATCCGAAGCTCCTTGCTTCCTTAATTGGCGGGATGAATAAAAAGCGCTGTAAAATGAGGAGCGAATGATTTTCCAATTAATTAGAAACAATTAAACAAAGTTAAATTGAAAAGAGACCCGCATCGCCGCGCGAGTTTTTTTTACCGCGGGGCAACGACGTAACCCCACTCGGAGAAGCCCTCGGACTCGGCGCTTTCGTCGAGAGACACTTATGTCCTTTTGATTCGACTTCGATTCTGGCCGAAAAACGATTTAAAGTTCGACGAAGCGCTCGTTTTCCATCAGATTGAGTTCGACTTTTTCCACCTTCGTTTGAGGGGTTACGCCAACTGGATGTATTTCTATCAAACGGAACTATGTGCATTAAGACATGAGCCCTGAGACCCATAAGAATACATGCATAACAGGGCTCACGTCATACTGCACATAGTTCCGTTTAACAGAAATACGTCCGACTGAGGAGTCTTTCTTACCGCTTTTCTTGGTGGCGCGAGTCACGCTGAGGCGTTTCGTGGCTGTCAGCCGTGGTGAAGTTCAGGAACCGAGCTTGAATCTCCACTTTGCTTGGTTTTTTCGCTTTTGTTGTTGGTGCGGAAGTTTCTTGCGTACGCTGGAGGCGAGGTGCTTACGGAGTTAGGGGAAGGAGAAAATTTCAGACTTTTCCAGGGTTTCCTCTCGTGGCGATGACGAAATTCCCTTATTCAACGTTGTACAATTGGACGTACTTCTATCAAACGGACCTAAGCGCCATAGGGTGAGGAAGGTAGAGGGGGGGCTTGGATTGGCGGCGGAATCGGGCGTCCGGCTTATTCCGTCCTATACTCGCAATGCTTTTCCATGGCGCTTAGGTCCGTTTGACAGAACGCGCTATCCGGGATTCTAAATTCCTCAAAAGGAACTCAAATTGGCGCTTAGTTCCGTTTGATAGAAATACGTCCAATTTACCCTTTTTACTAAAGTTCTCTACGGCTCCGTCGAAATTTATTTTGATCCGTGTTGTCACTATACCGGCTGCATCAAAGACAGCTAGGACGTCGCACAGTGGATTGAGTCAATTAGAGGGGTCAGACATGAAATTGTTGACTAAAACTGCAAATGTTGGTGAGCAGTACGGTTGTCCTTGCTTTCCCGGTGTATCCGTACCAGTGGCGTGGCGTGAATTGCGGTGTATCGATTGTTCTGTCATTCAAACCCATGGTAAAGAATCGATCATTAAGGTGTTCGCTGCGAACACCCTGTTCATCGATAATTTTCCATAGGTTTAAATGGCATCAATATATCGCAAAGCCCGCCACGCCACTGGTGTATCCGTACTTTCTCCGTGCAGTAGACACCCTAAAGAGTTCTAGGAAATCTGTAAAGAATGTATAGGCACACGGAATGTTTGCGCACTTGACAAAAACGAGATATGGATAGAAGAACAGTACTCACATTGACCTTTCGACCTCGTCCTCAGGGTTGTAGAGAAGTTGTTCGCAGTCACATATGAGATGGCGATTGTCGATTGACCTGGGCGGCTCGTGTCTGCCGGACCCTCTGAAACAAAAACCAAAAAATTTAAATATTTATTTAATGAAGAAGTTTGGTGAAACTATCGATATATCTTCATCGACAAAGGCTCATGGTTGCTTGTCAAAACCGAAATTAAGGACAATTTGAGGGGCTCGGAGGACAAGGCGCATAAGTGCAGTTTTTGCTGCGTCGAGAAATACGTGTTTGACCTTTCTAACTTACATAGATCCTTATGCTGGAAAGAAAATTTAAGCTGACTTTTATATGCTTAAAAATTGGAATTTGCGAGCGAATTTTTCACAAAACCTACACTAGGACTAGTTTTACTTGATATCATTAAAATCTCCGTTTTTTCAAAAATTGCACTCATGCACCTTGTCCTCCAAGCTCCTCGTTTAGACTTTTTCAAGAATTTTTAATAGCAGTATGGGCAAGAACTTTCAATGACTTCCGGAAAATCTTCATGGGTGATTTCACGATTACGAAGATTATTTAGTTGCCGAGGTGTGTTAGTATTTTCGAGGCCTTAGACCATAATAATTGAAAAATCAGACAATTATTTTAGAACGTTGTCCATATTTGTGACCCTGCATTGATTCCTGCAAAAACATATGATAGGCTCGGAGGACAAGGCGTATAAGTGCAGTTTTTGCTGTTCCGTGAAATACGCGTCCGAAATTTCAAAATCCCATGGATTGTTAGGGGGTAAAGACCGTTCAAACAGACATTTTAATGCTTAAAAATCTGAAATTGGGAGCGAAAATTTCACAGAATATGCACTAAGACTAACTTCACTTAGACTCATTAATGTCTCATTTTTTTCAGAAACTGCACTTATGCGTTTTGTCCTCCAAACCATTCATATGGGAAATCGTCATTCCTGAAACTTTAAAACTGCAAAATGTCGTGTCTGGTGCGTGCGCACCGGACGGATAATTTTTTCAGATGACGCGTAATAGGAACTACGATATTTGGCTCAGTTTAGAAATGGACCGAGTTAAACAGAAAGGAACCAAAACACATCAGCTATTGCCTTTAATTGGGCAATTTAATTTTTTACATGAAAACGGTAGTGCGGATTTTCGTGCAAATTTCAGTGATTTTTCTCCATAGTACGAGGCAAATTCCTTATCATTTTCACAGAAATCCGCACAAACGTTCTTTTATAAAAAATTGAATTGCCCAGTTAATTTTGGCAACAACTGATGTGGCTTGGTTCCTTTCTGTTAAACTCGGTCCAAATAACGTATGCACTATTAGCTTCCCAATGCACTTATGTGTTTTACCGTTGAGATAAAAATTGTAGTTACTCATTGGAAAATGTAGTCCACTTCGACTAACCTTCTGCGCTGACCGGTGACGTCAGAGAGGACGGTCAGCCGAAAACGGCTGGAGTCGGCTGGTATCGGCGCGAAAAAAGTGAGGCTAAAAGATTTAGTGGAGGAGGCGCGAGTAAGCTAATAATGCGCCCTAGGCTGGGGCAAGTGCAAGGGGCGACGCATATTGCTCCGGACGCTAAGCGCGGTTGCCGGGAAAGCGTGAAAAATCGGAAAAATTGACCCGTTCTCCGGGAGTCCGGGATGAGGTGCTAGGAACTAGTAGCGACGACTGTTCAAAATACTTTTAAAAGGCTCTTACATTTCAAAGAGACCAATCTTGAAAAGACTGTTAAAATGTTCGTCTGGAGAAACCCTTTTTTGAATATTTTTAAAGTAAAAACGGGCGGTAAAATTGCACTGGCAAGGCAGTCATTTTGGAAAATGGCTGTAACGTAGAACAAGTTGGATTTTGCAATCGCTAGCGATAGCAATATTCGTCATGGGAACGTTAGCTTCTGGGATATGAAAATGTTAAGGTACAGTTCGTTTGTAGTATCTTCTGAATTGAAGGGGCTATGTAATTTTGTGTTGACATCTCTTTTTTAACATTTTTAATTATTTTCTTTGCATACAAGAAAGCTGTTACGTACCAATTATTTATTTTCGTTGGATTATATATGGTTTTCGGAAGTTAACGCATTTAAGTTTCAGGTTCGCTTTTTCGGCGTAAAGTGTACATAAGGTGTCCCAAAAGCACCGGGACTTGTTCTGTAACTTCGAAAGTAAGATAGATACAGACATGATCTTGATTTCATTTTAAAGATCAACTCAATACCTATCGATTAAAACCAAGATCAGCTCAATCGGATAAAAATTGACCGAGTTATGGCAATTTGAAATCAGCGAGGAAAGTTTACGCCTACGGATTTTAAGGAAGATTCTTCATCGCCGTAAATCGAAAAGTCGGCCGATAAAGTGATGCTTATTGTGTTTTTTTATTTTCGAGGTGTCATTTATCAACATTTTGTACCATCAAACACAACAGTTGACAGTGCGTATTATTGCAAAGTACTAAAGGAGTTGAGAATGCACATTTCCCGGAAACGGTCGGACTTGAAAGCTTCGTGGATACTCCATCAAGACAATGCGCGGCCTCACACATCGAGCTTAACACGTGAATTTATGAGTAAAAATGGAGTTGAAACAATCCCTCATCCCCCTTATAGCCCTGACTTGGCTCCATGTGATTTTTGGATGTTTCCTGCGCTTAAAAAGGAGCTTCGCGGACGAAGATTCGTATCGAAGACAAAAATCCAGAATGCAATTCAAAACTTCTTCAACTCCATCCCAGAGGAAGAATTCAGGAAAACAATGTTGGATAAGTGGCAAGAGCGCATGAAAAAGTGCATCCGGTTTGATGGACGGTACTTTGAAAAGCAAAAGGAAGTTATGGAAGATTCGGAGGAAAGTGGATACGAATATTAACTTTTTGAATCCTGGTAAGCGAAAAATCTTCCTAAAAACCGTAGGGGTAAACTTTCCTCACTAATTTCAAATTGTCATAACTCAGTCAATTTTTATTCGATTGAGCTGATCTTGGTTTTAATCGATAGGTATTGAGTTGATCTTTAAAATGAGACCAAAATCATGTCTGCATCTATCTTACTTTTGAAGTTACAGAACCAGTCCCGGTACTTTTGGGACACCCTACGTATGATATTTTTACTCTACACATATGCCCAAATACGCATCATAAGGGACCTATGTGCTTCCTAAGTTGCCAAGTATTAATTATTGTTAGATTATTGGTCTAAAACATTCAATACAACCAGTAAAAATTAGCTGTCCTCTACGAGATTCGAACCCCCGCTCCCACAAAAAGTAACACTCTCCCAGCATCAGAACAGTGGCGTAGTCAACTTAGCTATCTCACCGCTCGGAAATGGGAGGAGAAAAAGAGAACAGTTAAGTGATCTCGGACGCTGAGCGGGGCTTCACAAAAGACGTCCTTGAGATTTCAACGGTTCGGCCACTGGCGTGATAAGAGACAAATGGATCAAGCGCATTACTCTGTGAGACATTGTTTACCTATGCGGTCATGTGTCACAGGGCTCATCTCAGTATGCATTTGCGATCGCGACAGTAAGCTGAGGCAATATTTCTGTATTCATGGATTAAATCCATCAATCGAGTTCTGATTTTGGCTCATATATCCGTAACGGGTCCTCCAGAACAATTTTCCACCTTGTACGATGGTTATTATTTCTTTACATCTATGTTTAAAATTTGAGGTGGGATAATGGCGGCTTCTCAAGAGCAACGAGGTAGGCGATCTTTTGCACCAACGAACAGAAAACTGATGGCGAAAAATAGCCAATGAAAACCTCCCAAAAAAAAGAATTTGCCTAAAAACGGAACTTCGTGGTTCTGCGCAGATTTACCAGTCAGACACGACATCTTAAGGTGGAAAAAAACTCGCTGAAAGCGAATTTTAGCAATCAACACAACTTGACGTAGAGACATGATTGGCTAAAAAATACAACGGTTTTTGATACATCGGAAAATCAACCAAAAATCGGAGACTGGGCGAAACGCTCAAGGTCGCAGAGGTATAGGGAATCCCATTGCGAAAGCAACGGAACGATTGTAATATCATGGGGAACTCCGTTCCCATGACAAAAGTACACGGACTGGCGCGCTGTTAAAAAAAAGAACATTTCATGATGGTAACGGTGCACAGTATAACACCCCTGAGTCTTACATTAAAAGCCATATAATTTAACATTAGTTACCATGACTCTCCAATTTTTGCTTTTGACGTACAGAACGTAATCTAACATGGTTTCATCTTTAAATCGGGACGGGGTGTGATAAAAGTTGATACTATACGAAATATACAATTTTAGCTTTTAAATTATTTCCAGTTACAGTTGGAAACTGATACAAAAACATAATGAAACATAAAAAGTAAACAGTTACGAGTTTTTAGAGCCAAAATAAGTGGGAGCCTCGCAACCTTTCCCGTTTCTTTTCAAATTTTAAAGAGGGCTCCCCACGATACCACCAACCAATTAGAAGGGCGGCTTCATTTTTAACTGTGACGTAGAAAAGTACATTTTTCTCCGCTTGTCACCACCTTCTGCATTTTCTCTATAGAATTAAGAAAGGCTTAAGGGTCATTTCACGAATTCTGTATGCAGACGACAAGAAAGTTGCGATTTTGGGGGAAACTTGGCAACTTGACAGCGACGAGTTAAACGCACGAAGGGGATGCTGACTGCTGGGCCACGCAAGTTCACGCATCTGGCCTCGAGTCAAAGCGATAAATCCTCTCCCATCCCTATAAATAAAACGAAAAGTTGTGTCAGTGTGTTTCCAGAGTACGTACAACTTATTTTTTATTTTCTTCACCCGGCAAGGATATGTTGAGATTTGGTATCATCAAAATCAAGCTTTCGCTATGGTCTTTCCAGCCCGCAGCGTTTCAACGGACTGACTAACTGACTATTTGAACAATTAAAAATCGGATAGCCTTAAGCAAATAAGCCACATGTACATTAAGAGATCTTACACCTGAGGCATTGTCTCCACGGGACGTTTTCATGGGATTTGTCCCGAGTTCGAGTCGTAGGAATGAAACTTCTGGGATTTTTCCCACTTACCGTCTTCACGGGACGGGGCTCATACAGTCCTGCGACTAGTTTG